GATATATCTCGCTGCTGATTCTGTCGTTCGAGCAACATCCCGTCTTGGCAAAATCACGAAACCCCGTGGAAACACATCCGAGGGTAAGTGGCGCGATATTGGACCGACAAGACGAACGATTGTTGCACGTCCGACGTGAAACGCCGATTCATGAAAGATCTCACGGGATCTCCCCGAAATAGACTTGTTCCTGAGAAAATTTATTCTTTCATATCCCGAGTTTTATCAGATTTATTAGACCCTTTTGCGCCTGAACAGTAATATTAGTGGAGCGAATTTTGTGGTAAAAAATATCTATATTCGGAGAGTATAGTAGTAAAAATTGCAATGCAACTTTAGTAGTCTGGGAATAGATTATCATTATTATGAAAATTGCAATAAAACAATAAAAATAACCTTAAAAATTAGTAAAAGTTATCATATTTATGATAGTTTTTACTATGTTTTATTATAATTTTCGTAATAGTGCCAATCTATTTCCGGACTACTAAAAGTGCATTGTAATTTTTACCATAATTTTTATTATAATTTTTACTATAATTATATATTGTTTCCGTAGAATAGAATTTTGCAATTGCGGGACAGATCGACATTCTACAGTCATTTATTGTCTTGTTATGTACACACAATATTTTACGTAATAACATAAGAAATATAACGTAATATAAGAAATATTACGTAATATAAGAAATAAAAATTTGGTTTGCTTACTGCTTAGAACTAATTTTTTTTCGATAAAATTTTATAATATTCTTATAAAAAGAATCAATTTTTCTGTTGAATACGTGATGAGCCTTTTTAAAATTTATGATGAATATATTTCAGGACTATTATCAAGGGAATATTCTTTTGTTTTGAAGATAACCATTACTTAAAAGAAGATAAGTAAATTAAGTAATCGCGTTTCTCCGCGGTATAAAAATATTTTTCTGCGTGCAGGAACTAAATTGTGCTATTAAAAATTCTGCTGCGTTTCTAACAAAATTTGCTATGTGTCTACATTGAGAGAAGAAATATCTAAAAAAATATATAAAAAATATTTATTTTGAATTTTATATGAGCAATATTTATTAAAAATTGTAGTAATTTCCACCACACTGTGATAGTGTTATAGTATGTGTTAGAGAAAAGATACCTAAGAAATAAAAAGTATTTATTCGGTAAGTGCTGATAACATATTTAATATACATACATATATTACTATACTAATACATATATTATTACACTGACAAGAGAACACTACAAACTCGAACTTTTTGATTTTGAACTTTCACTCTCGCCTTCACGTTTAGACGATAGGAAGCCACATTCCGACTGCATTACCCAAAACAGATAATCTCATTCTTAGTGGAATCCTCTTGTATATTGACCTTAAGAGAAAATTCTTCTAGAACCAAGAGGAAAAAAATATTCTAACATCCAAAAAAGAATTCTAATTGAAAGGTTCTTTTTTCTATAATTCCATATTCCAAGCGAATACTTTTGCCAGAGGAGTATTCCTTTTCTAATGAAGTAGACTATTAATCGAAAGTCCAATGGATATTATTCTGTTTTTCATTTTGAACTTTTTCACTTTTGTGAGTATGTAGAGTAAATCAATACATGAATAACGGTATATTCCATTTGTGCCCTATCGCTATTTAAAAGTATGATATATACCAGAGCTCGGAATTAGCTCATTTTGATTCTCGGGAGCTACGCCTTCTATCTTCCCCTTGTCGCGAGCAGGCCATGAAAGTGACGAAGCTTGAAGCTTGGCCGCGACTGGCCGTCACTTTCGTGATCCGCTCGCGGCAAAGGGAAAACAGAAGGCGTAGCTCCCGAGAATCGGCCGAAATGGGCAACTAATTCCGAGCTCTGACTTACACCATCCTAACGCGAGTGATATTGCGAGAGAGCGAAACTCCCGTGAGTCTAAACTCACGTGAGTCTAAACGTTGAACGTTAATATCGCTCAGGTTTGCCGTTCTAATTATCATCTGAGAGATATACGCGCGCTTTCGTACATCCCACCCGAGAATTATTAATGTTATTATTAGTCTCGTTACTCGTACGATGCGTTAATTTCGTACTAATCCGGCGGAACGATGACGCTCCGCTGCGCGACTGATCTTTCTCTAAATTATAAACAACTTCAGCAATGAGCCGCAATGAGAGGTGTTTCATATGTGTGTCAATGATACAACGACAATGTCGATGAATTCTTATAACTAACGCGCCGGGCTTTCCATCGCGCACGTTCGCTCGTTCTATTAGACACGCGTGGGTCAATTGACTTTCCAGGACGTGGCGCGTGTCGCAATTTGTGCAAGGTATAAAATAGGCCGCAGTTGACACCTCAAGCGGTAATTTCAGCTCCAATGTTGTTCATTACAGTTTCAGCGTCGAGAATGCGCCGCTTGTCCAGCGATGACTCACATTATAACGACATATATAGATGTACCTCGACACGTTAGCAAGATGAGGCAACGATAGTGCTGGCTCTTGACGAGTTTTTAATGAACGTGCACCGGAAAAAAACGTTAAAAAGAAAAAACCAAAAATCTTGTGAACTTGAACAGATTTCTAGTAGCTTTAACTGGAATTTCTGATTTGTTCATTTCAAGAATTTTGTTAATCTAATCGAATATTCCTTTTTCCGTATGCCACGTCAAACTGATTAAATCGGTGAATGCACTCTGTGTAAACGCGTTCTCGTTATCTATTCGTTGTTCATCCTCTCGTTTTCACGTTTAGACGATAGGAAGCCACATTCCGACTGCATTACCCAAAACAGATAATCTCATTCTTAGTGGAATTTTTGTATATTGACCTTAAAAGAAAGTTCTTCTAGAACCAAGAGGAAAAAAATATTCTAACATCCAAAAAAGAATTCTAATTGAAAGGTTCTTTTTTCTATAATTCCATATTCCAAGCGAATACTTTTGCCGGAGGAGTATTCCTTTTCTAATGAAGTAGACTATTAATCGGAAATCCAATGGATATTATTCTGTTTTTCATTTTGAATCAAGAGGAATATATTTACTTGAAGCAGAACGCGACACACGCGACATGAAAGACGCGACAAGCAAGACTTGGATTGTAGATATAAGAGGCGAAATTTTTCAAGAATGCTGTATTTGGACATGAATTCTTCTTCTAATTTTAGAAGAATCTCCTTTTGTAAAAGAGGATTCTGCTAAGGACGAGATTATAATTCTTTTGGGAGAGATTTTTAGTGATTCTAAGCTCAATATTTTTGTTGAGGAAACTCAAGACGATCACATCTTCACGGCCCTAACCACGCCGTCGAAATAAGGACCGTAGAACCAATAACGGTACTGACAACGGCATTTAATATTCTGGCCCTCGAAAACGATTTATCTGTAGGGACGTGCCTCGGAAGAATACCGAGAGAGAATCCGTCTAAGACACACGGACGTCTTACAGACCGAGGAGAAGGAGGAAAAAAATAAAAAAAAAAAGAACGCAGGAAGGGTTGAGCATCCCCGGTGACGTAATATCGTCGAGTGAAAGGTGAGGTGACGACGGACCACAAAAGTACGTAATCACTGTCGGGCATTTCGACGACACGATCGCAGAAGGAACCATAATCTACGGATCACGTTCTGCACGAGATGCGGTTCAACGAACTTGAATCTCTCGCGGAGCGACCGTACTTTTCGGCTTCCATCCTCGAGGCATCCCGTGCCGAAGGCGCGAGGGGTCACGCCGAGAGATTGTAAGACGGACGGAGGAGAAAACGCGTGGTCAGGCTAATTATCCCGCGGCGGGGGAGATTAGGATGCGCCGTGTTTTCCGCATCCTACTGCAAATACCTTCGCTCGTTTCACGAACGTCGATAAGACTGCTTCTACCTCGCGCCGGCCACATTGAGAGAAAAATGTATGAAGTATTTAGAAAGAAATGTTTGCTTGCAATATTTTCTTCCATATTTATTGGTTATAAAAAAATTTGACTGTAACAATGAAATATATATTTCTGTAAAATATATCTAAGTCTTTTAACTAATCGTGAGAAACAAATTATTTAACTCCTGTTGGAAAAATTAATTTACTTCAGGCAAACATATATTTGTTTATAGCAATAATATTTAGTTATAACAAGATTAAGATTTAAGATAACAAGATTAAGATTAGCCAAGTAGTATTTATTTGTAGAAGTCAAATTTATTTTTTAGAAATAAATCTTATTTGTGTGGATCCGAAGTTAATACCAGCCATTCTACTTAGGATCCTTTATGTGTTATTCGTACATTGGAGAACACTGATTCGCAATGCATCATGAAATATGGCGAAATAATGGCGATACATTGTCGTTTCGTGGCAGTATTTATCGTTTATTGACATGTAAATTGAAAAATATGGACAACAAAGTGAAACATATTGTGGAAGTATTACATTTAGAGCGTAAATATTTATAATATTATAAATAAAGATAAATATGTACAATATTATAAATAATATTATAAGAAAATTATAATTACTGTTTCATAGACTCGCTATGTCTCGTAGCTATGGGCGGAGGGATGCGGCGAGATACGATTCGCGAGTGTCACGGTCGCACGTCGGTCGAAGGCATCTTTCTTTCCGCTGCCGCTTTTTGTACGCTGATTTGTTGAGACAAAATAATTAATTTCTCAAAAACTATTGCGAATATCGCAAAACGGCACAGGACTTTCTTGCTCACCTCAATCCGTTCTACGTTCTCACCAAGGGTCATCATGGGACTTCGGGACACCCTGTATATACAGGGTCCGCCATCAAAATCCGGACAAATTTCAATTTGAATTTCCCGCCTCATTTGACTTCGGTGGTAGGTCACTGTTGATGTTCGGGCAAGTCAGATGTTTGTAGTAAGTGCGCATAACCTCAAAATGTCCGAACAGATAAGATCGAATGCAGAGTATAATCGAAGAGCGGCGATAATTGAAGGCCTTCGCGCTGGGCGTTCGCGGACCGAAATTATTCGGTTCTTCGGGTACCCGAGATCGACCGTATATGACGTTGCGGCTAAATATTTGGCTTCGGAGACGAAGGTTCGAAAAAGGTTCTGCCAACCCGACAAGGAAGAGCCATTCGAAAGAAAAGTCAGTAAGGACTCCAGCAATTATCGAAAGAGCTCAAGAGCTCATCTCAGAGGACCCAGGGCTGTCTCTAACGAAATTGGCCAAAACATTGGGTGTGAGTGACACTACAATGCGTCGAATTGCTGAAGAGGACCTACGCTTCAAGTCCTATGTAATAAAAGTTCGACAAATGCTCTCTGAGGCTGCCAAGATGAACAGAGTTGCTCGCTGTAACTTGCTTCTGTGTTCGTTAAAAAACGAAGCTGCGGGACGCATCAGGTTTTTTTCGGACGAAAAAATTTTTTCTGTCGATGCCAAGGTGAACCGGAGGAACGACCGTTGGCTCGCCCGCGACCCCGAAGATGTGCCCATAATAGCTAGGACGAAGTTTCCGGTCTCTGTTCACGTCCTAGGCGTTGTCTCCAGTGAGGGTCACGTCATGCCGCCACATTTCTTTCAAAAAAAAGAAACCGTCACAAAAGAAGTATATTTACACGTTTTGACGAAGATAGTGAAGCCGTGGATAGAAACCGTGGCCGCCGGGAGGACGTACGTCTTCCAGCAAGACGGCGCGCCAGCGCACACGAGTCACTTAGTGCAAAACTGGCTGTCGGATAAAATAGACATGTTTTGGTCAAAAGAATTTTGGCCTCCGAACAGTCCAGATTTGAATCCGTTGGACTATTACGTGTGGAGCGTCATTGAACGAGTGACCAACAAGTCGAGACATCCCAATGTGACATCTCTCCAAACCGCTATCGAAGCAGCATTCGCCAATATAGACAAGGACGCGTTGCAGAGAGCGTGCCAGCGCTTCAGGATGAGGATCGAAGCAGTCATCGAAGCAAAAGGGGGTTATATAGAGTAATTTTACTCTAAAAGGATACCACTAGTGATACACAAAAAGTTCTTTTGTAAGTTTTACATTTTGATGAGTAGAATTTTATTTAAACAAATTGTTCATTTTGTCCGGATTTTGGTGGCGGACCCTGTATATATATAAGTAGTAAAATGTGTAGTAAAAAGAAATCCATTATTTTTGCATGAAATTGAAGGCTTTATTTAGCATAGTTAGAATGATCCGATTTAGGTCAAATATGCTCGTTTTGTTCGATAACTTGTTGCCATTTTGAAGAATTCCATTATGCCTCTCTCATAGAAACCCTTGTCCCTATTGGCAAAAAACTGGGACAGTCGATTTTCACAAACTTCTCTTGAGGCGAATTTTTCACCAGCAAAATCATTCGCTATAGACAGGAACAGGTGGTAATCACTTGGTGCCAGGTCCGGACTATAAGGATGCATAAGAACCTCCCAAAGCTTCTGGCGAGTCACTATCGATGTGTGTGGCCTGGCGTTTCCTGATGGAACACAATTCCTCTCCTATTGGCCAAAGCTGGCCGCTTCTGGGCGATTGATTCCTTCAGACGGTCCAATTGTTGACAGTACAGGTCCGAATTAAGAGTTTGGCCGTAGGGGAGCAGCTCATAGTGGATGATTCTCTGCCAATCCCACCAAACACACAGCAAAGCCTTCCTGACCGTCAATCCTGGCTTGGCCACCGTTTGCGCCGGCTCACCGCGTTTCGACCACGACCGTTTCCGCTTGACGTTGTTGTAAGTGACCCACTTTTCATCACCAGTCACCATCCGCTGCAGAAATGGGTCGATTTTGTTGCGATTCAACAGCGATTCGCAGATGGAAATTCGGTCCATGAGGTTTTTTTGCGTTAACTCGTGTGGCACCCATACATCGAGCTTCTTTTTGTATCCAGCCTTATTCAAGTAGTTCCAAACGGTTTTTTGTGCAATGTTTAGCTCCTGGGCAATCGAAACAGTGCTTACATGACGAGTTAGTTCCACTATGGTCGAAAAATGTAATAGGCACAACCATCTAGTATTTTCATGGTTTAAGACGGGAGCGGTGCACTTGGACACGGTGCATTTGGACACAGCCAATCACAGCACCATGTGATTAGAGACATTTGTAGGGTCCCTTGGAACAGCGACTTGTGATTGGACTGTGTTCAATTGCCCCGTGTCCAACTGATATACACCCGTTTAAGACAACTCAATACTGCTTTCCGATGCTCGTGTAGAGTAAAGCCAGCGGCATACGGTGCTTGTTTTCATGTTAGATTGCTTGCTGATTGGTGCATTTCTGAAGATGGATAGAAATACACCAATCAAAACAGAGTATTTCCATCCAGCAAGCAATCCAGCACGAAAATAAGCACCGTGTGCCGCTGGCTTTAGTTAGAGTTAGCTAGAGTAGCGTAGCAGATAACGTGAGCATTAAGGGACGTCTACATTGGAAGTAAGCAGTAAGAAGTAGGAAGTAAGAATAAGAAATTGACCAATCATAGTTGATTATTCTTCTCACATTCGACTGTGGTTGGTCAATTTCTTACTCTTACTTCCTACTTCTTGCTATTTACTTCCAATGTAGACGTCCCTTTAGGTAGTTGATTTTAAAAAAATGTTAGTTATTAATAAGTTTAATCTCATATAGTATGTTTATACCGAACGTTTAATACGCGTACCAATTAGCAGGGTTGGGAAGTAACGAGTTACTTGTAACGTCGTTACCGTTTCAGTTACTTTTTTTCGGTAACTATGACGGTAACGGCGTTACTTTTCCTGATTACTTTTTCTGATTGATAACTGTAACGGTAACGTAGTTGCATTTATCCAGTAACGATAACGATTCATTTGTTACTCTAATAGTTATTGTTTTGTTTTAAATTTATTAAATTCGGTCTATACATAAGCCAGTAGCAATAAGCAAAATGACCAATCATAGTCCATCCTCAATCTGGCAGATTGCAATCATGACTGTGATTGGTCACTTTGCTTATGTCTTAAGCCTAAGGCCTTGTATACTGGGTGTGATTAGCGACGAACGATGAGCGATATTCGAGAGCTCTTATTTCTTCTTAAAGCAAAGTTCTGATTGGATATCGCTCATCGCTCGTTGCTAATCGCTAATGGTCTCACAGACCAGCGCGATACACGACGCGACACGCGATATGCGACGAGCGATAATCAGATATATCTCAGATATACAGGGTGTCCCGTCACTACCGCATTATCTCTTAAGAGCGGATTCCTGAAGTAACCTATATAGCACAAATCTTCAAAGAACGTTCTAAGGACATTCATACATCCTAAGAACATCCCAGAATATTCTCTGAAGATTTTGTGCTATCTGGCAAAGCTATAATACTTTTTAAATTATAAACGATTAAAGTTGACCAATTATACTGGCTAAAATACGTGCGCTCAGGTACGGTACAACACACAGTGGTACAGGTGCATGCACATGTCATCCTTTTTCCAAATATTGATACGGAAGTCCTATACATACAACAATATATGTAATAATAATCTGCTTTTTCTATCATTTAAATAAACATATCGCAAATAATAACAATCTCGTCAAAATGTTATGAATAAAATATCACACAATACATTTATGAGAGTCAGTAAACTGTCACACATTTGACATTTCTTTCAGTAATTTACAACTAATTTCATATCTTATGCAAATTTTTACTTATATGCTGCACCTGTACCATTGTGTATTGTACCGTACCTTAGCGCGCGTACTTTAGCCAATATAATTGGTCAACTTTAATCGTTTATAATTTGAAAAGTATTATAGCCTCGACATTTTTGCATTAGGATTTTTTTCTTCAAATTACCTTAGGAATCCGTCCTTAAAAGATAATGCGGTAGTGGCGGGACACCCTGTATATCAGATATATCTATATCTCAATTTATTCTATCTCATACCTATATTCTACATAAATCTCTCTCTCCCTCTCTTTCTCGTTCATTTTCCCTTATCAAACTCATAATTATATTAGTAGTTACTGCCGTCTTATTTTAGCATTTAAAAAAGTAACGAAAAAGTAACTATTCGTTACTTTTTAAATAACGATAACTGTAACGAGTTACTTTTTAAAATTTGTAATGAGTAACTGTAACGAGTTACATTTTAGAGAAAATAACGGTAACGATAACGAGTTACTTTTATAAAGTAACGTTACCAACCCTGCCAATTAGTAATTTTATGTTAAATTATTTTGATTTCCCTTTATAGAAATATCATACTAAGGATCATTGATAATTACTTATTATCCAGTATTTTTAATACTGAAAATAAGTAATTATCAATGATTCTTAGTATGATATTTCTATAAGAGTCGGCGATGTATATAAATAACGCCATATTGAAGTAGTGCAATATTGATTAGAAACACTTATCGTATTAATTGAATATATTGCATCGCCGAAATTAAAATAATTAGATATAAAGTTACTAATTGATACGCGTATTACACGTTTAGTATAAACATACTATATGAGATTAAACTTATTAATAACTAACATTTTTTGAAAATCAACTATCTGATGCTCACATTATCCGCTATGCTACTCTAGCTAACTCTAATGGCTGCATTCAGTAGACTCAACAGTTGAGACATCTGTTTCCGATGGATCGAATTCAGCTATGAATTTTCTACTGGATTCGTTTGTGATATCGCTACTAGTAAAGATGGCTACTTCTAATGTATTACTTTAAAATAAAAGCGGATAAGGTTAAGTTAAGAGTAGTTTGACAGTAAAATTAAATTTGAAATA